TTTTTTTGGTTGACAGTGTACCTAAACAAGGTCAGAACTTTTTTTTTTTTTCTGAATATGAATGTTCCAGGACTTGCTCTGAGAAGTTTATTTATTTTCCTGTTTGTGATGGGTCCTGTGAGTGTTTGTTGGGTGTTGTCAGTGGTGGCCAGGTGGATGTGTGCTCTTAGCACAGATCCTTGGTCTGCTGTACCATGTGTTGTCAATATGCTCTGAAAGCTAGTAATGTGCACACTCAAGGTTTCAATGTTGTGAAAGGTGTGAGCATCTAGCCCTATGGCCTGCACTAGCATGCTGTGTATTGAATGTGCTATCGCTGCTTATCTGAGTGTTTTTATGTTCCCTCAAGATAACTTAGTACTTGCCTACTGTCTTAGTTACTTTTGTATTGTGCGGTAAGGCACCATGACCAAAAGCAGCTTGGGGAGGACAGCATTTATTTCATTTTACAACGTGTAGTCTGTCATCCAGGGAAGTCTAGGGGCTGGTGCAAGGCCATGGAGGAGTGCTGCTTACTGGCTTACTTCATGGTGTGCTCAGTCTGCCTTTCTATGCCACCCAGGGACCACCTTGCTCAGGGCTGTGTCACCACAGGGAACTGGGCCCTCCCAAATCAGTCATCAATTAAGAAAACACCACAGACCAACCTGGTAGGCATATTCTTAATTGAGGTTCTCTCTTCCTAGTGACTCCAGCCTGTGTTTACTTGACATAAAACCAGCCAGCACAGCTATCTTCCTTTCATCTTCAGTTAGAATGGCCATTTTTCTGGAACAGATGCTGTCTTTGACTTAGCAGTTATGGCCTTAATCTTATTTTCGCACTCTTTCCATTTTGGCATTCTTTTTCCTTGAAGAGGCTGGTGTGCTTTCCTGTCCTTGCCAAACTATAAACTCTGTAAAGGCAAGGACTGTGCAAGTCTTGTGAATTCTTCATTTTTATTGCCTAGCGATGTGCCTGGCATGAAGCAGTCACAAGTGTTTTGTTTAGTGTTGAGCAAAAGTAGAAGGCAGATGTAGGGGATACAAGTAGCTTCTGAGTGTAGCATTGCTGGGCAGGCTGCAGCGGCCAGTCAATCTTGGGGGCACCTGAGACCTATTGCCCATCAACCCAGACAGACTAGACATGATTGCCACAGCAGTGAGCTTGGGGGTAGGGATAGCTCAGTAGGAAGGCTTTGGAAAACATCGACTACACTTGACTCTGAGTGCAGGTAATTGGAATTTTCTTGTTACTGTGTCTTGGCTGAGTTGATATGTGTGTATGTATGAATGGGTTTATAATAGTTTCATTTACTGTGTGTCCAATTCAGTACACACATGGATGCACACCTTTCTTGCACACATGCATACACATGTCTGTGTGTGTGTGTTTATTTGTGTTTGTGATGTATGCATGTACATGTCTCTGTGACCAGAGGTCAACATCACATTCTTCCTCTTTCATGTTCCACCTTATTTTTAGAGACAAGCTCTCTCACTGAACCTGAAGCTCATTGATTAGGTGAGAGCTCCAGGAATCTGCCTGCCTACGCCAGCGCACTGAGCTTTCATGTGGGTACAGGGACCCTGAACTCAGGTCTTTGTTCTTACAAAGTAAGCACTTCACCCACTGAGCCATCTCTCCAGTCCTCAACATATATTTTAATATGTCATCTGGAAGCAGGATTTACGGTGCTCATCTACAAAGCCCAACACTTGTGAGGCAGAAGGGTGTCTGGCCTGTGGCCTGTGGGCTGCGTTTATACAAAGATGGCTTTGAGTTTAGCCCAGCACAAAATCCTAAACTAACTGGGTTCTTTGAACCCTGGTTGTGGAGTTCTCTTTGTAAATGACAATGTTTTGCCGCAATGTCAACAGGTTATGCATACCTGCAAGGATATATGAGACCTGTCTCAAAAATTTGTCTGGTTTGCTTCTTGGAAAGTAGGAATATAATTTTATGGTTTAAAGTGTATTGATAACAGTATGTAGAATGTAACAATATAAACATGTCACTTTGCCTCATTTGAAAGAAAAATCTCATATTAGTGGCTCTTTGTTTCTTTGTATTTTCAATCTGTAGAACAATTGTTAGAAACTAAGATACCAAATGGCGTGACTCGAAATCCAGATTCTCCAGCACATCCTGACACACACCTGGAAATTCACAGAAAAATGGCTGTTACACCCTTGGACATGAACCGCTTTCAGAGTAAGGCTTTCCATGCTGTCATCTCGCAGCACAGTAGGCAGTACTCTGCCTCTCCAACAGTAGGACAGCCGCCTAAGAAGGAGCCCTCCTTACACCTGGATACACCATCAAAGTTTCTGTCCAAGGACAAGCTTTTCAAGCCGTCCTTTGATGTGACGGTAAGGCTAGTGCTAATGGCTTCATTGTTTATAAAGGTAGAGCCCCCGGTTATGCGTCGCCACCAAAAGTTTGTGCTAGAAAATTTTCCAAACATGGTGATAAATAGGTGCTCAGGGCTGAGATAACAGTGGCAGCTACGTATAATGTGAAGTTAGGACTCTCAGTTCAAGTTCTATATTGCTCATGAACACGGTTCTAGGCAGATCGTTTCATCCCTGAAATGATTTTTTTATGAAATGGTTTTATTAGCTTTAAAATAACAAACATGTTGCCACCATTTCTGGATGACATAAATGTGCTTTGGGCTTTCTGAAAGCTCCTAGTGTCACCTTAATTTTTCAGTTAAGTTCTCTCTGCTTAGAGGAGATGAGTGGGGTTTTCTCTGTTTGATGAGTGGGGTCTGACACCTTTTGAAATTTATTCACAAGTCAAAGGCTAAGGAAACATATTCAAATAGACCCCTTCCGGATCTCTAAGATGGTTTTTTTTTTTTGGGGGGGGGGGATTTTATTTTTTCCTCACCTTTCATTAGGGAACTTTTGGCCTTCTGAGTTAGTCATTGACTATAATTTCTGTATACTTGAATCCATTTACCTGTTAACAGTTTGCTTATAGAATTATCAAGAAATGGCATTTTTCCTGGGCTGTTAGTATTGCCTGCAATCTCAGTAACTTGCAGGCTAAGCAGGAGGATCATAAGTTCAAGACTTGTCTAGTTTACATAGTGAGTTCAAGGCCTGTCTCAAACAAAAAGTACTTTTGGTTTTGCTTAGTTGTTGAAAGAGAGTTGTAGAGGTAGGTTTGTAATAAAATATTGGCCTGGCCGGCACGAGGGGACCTGGGTTCAGTCCACAAGAAAACCAAGTGCATTTTAGGCATTTTTACTACTGTGCTTAGTATTGGTGTATTATTTACGTTTCTTATGCCTCTTTTTTCATTCTCTACCCCAATCCCTTCCAACACTTGTTAGGAAAGAAAGGTTAGTGAGGAGAGGGGCCAGGGTTCTCTTTAGCTACTTCCTACTAGTTAGGGTTGTTGGGTTCCTTGGAGGAAGTCCAATCTTCGTCTCCTACCTCTCATCAAACTGCAACCAGGAATAGCAAGTGGGAGCATCAGCATTCTCCTTCCTTGGAACGCTCCTCTGTCTCTCTGGCCTCTGGCATCTATTCCCTCTCAAGAGTCCTCAGAATTATACTATCTGCAACTGGCAAAGAGCTCTCTCACGGAGCCTGGGAGGGAAATAGTTTGCTGCTGTGGACAGTGTGAATCAACCTCATACCCCACACCTGGAATTAAAACAAAATCATGTTTACAATAACCTGAGTTTTTAAAGACACCAAAACTTTCCACTAAAGTTTAGGGGCAGATTTATTCATCTTCTGAAAGTAAATGTTAATCGATACCCTGGGCAGTTGTTGCCAGGCTAATGTATACTCTTAATCTTACCAGTTATGGTGGCTCTTAGGAAAGACAAAATGGCTTCTTTAGTATTCTACAAAGGCAGAGTCCTACCGTTTTACATAAAATCCCTTCTGAGGTGCTGTGATTTGTGCTCTGCCCCATGAGCCTTCATCAGAGGAAAATCACTGTTTTGGTCAGTACGACTGCATCACGCTGCCTTTTGACACATGTGAACTCCTTTGAGCTTCATGCCTTTTGTGGGATCATGTTAAGTCATGGAGTGAGTCCTGACAATTTAAGTTACATAGTTCACAGCTCCCTTAAATAGTAAATAAAGAAAACCGGTGCACTGCTAAATGAAATAGTTGCTAACAGTAGGGAAGCCATTGTCCATGTTCAGATAGAGTTGCTAATACTGTGTACTCTTCCTCATGCTGCTTCCTATTACTTGTATTTCGTAAGTGGCTCCCTCCCCGCTAGCTTGTCACACCTATGTTATGCTTGTTTTTGGCTTTCATAAAGGCAGTGTTATAAAGTCTTCCCCCTTCTCCCCAAGATAGGGGTTCTCTGTGTAGCCTTGCAAGTATTGGACTTGCTTTTTAGACCAGGCTGACCTTGAGATCTGCCTGCGTCTGCCTCCACAAATCCTGGGATTAAAGGCGTGTAGTACCATGCCTGGTCTCTAGTCTTTTGCATCTGTTTGGTTGGATTTGTTTAGCCTCTTTGTGGAGACTTGCCCATGTTCTATATAACTATAGTTTATTTATCATGAGATGGTATTTTCTTTTATCTAAGGTGTACAGTGTTCGATATATATCCAATATATTTCTACAAAAGATGTAACTTTTTTATTGCTTATTTTATATCCTTTCCTGATGTGTTTATTTACACATCCTCCATATTAAGTGATGTTTCGAGTTTCTTGTGTTGGTAATTCTTTTTCTTTAAACATCTCCCATGGTTTTTGTTTGTAGTAAATAGTTGCTGTGTTAGTTGACACATTGATATGCATGACTTACATTAGTCAGAATGTAGGATGTGGCTTTTGATGTAAACTGTCCTAAATTGTTTAATGCTTTTTGATTGAGGGCTGTCGGCTTCGGCTGTGGTTCTAGGATTTCAGTCTCTGCTGTCTTATCTTTATCTCAGTTCTGTCATTTATTATTTTGTAATTAATTTATACTTGCATTATATATTTATATTATGTGTTTTGATTTCCTACTCAACCCCTTTTGGTATGTAGTATAGAATATCCATTCCCCTTTTGAGGTAAGTTCTCAGCATAACCCAGACTACCCTTAAAGAGATACACCTGCCTGTGCATGCTAACTATTGGGATTAAAAACATATACCACTATACCTACCTTTTGTGTTTTGTTTTGTTATTTTGTTTTTTCAAGACAGCTTTGGCTGTCCTGGACTCACTTTGTAGACCAGGCTGACCTCGAATTCACAGATCTGCCTGCCTCTGTCTTCCAGAGTATGCCCCACCATGCCTGGATTGATTGATTGATTGATTGATTGATTAAGATTTTTAAAATTTTGAAAGTCCTGGTTGCCTTGTTACGTAGACTCAAATGTTCATCACTATGCTTGATGTTATGATGCAGGAGAATGTGCCCAGGGCTTTGTGCCTGCTAGGTAGCACTCTCCCAACTGAGCTATACTCCAGCACAAACCATAAACATTGCGTTGATCACCTGCCATTGTGATAACTAATAAATCCCTACTTGATCCCATCTGTAGCTATGGCTTTTCTATCAATTTCCCTTCTCTCCTTCATAGCCTTTCTGTGTTTTGTTTTTTCGAGACAGGGTTTCCCTATGTAGCCCAAGCTGTCCTAGAACTCACTCTGAAGACCAGGCTGGCCTCAAACTCAGAGATCCACCTGCCTCTGCCTCCCAAGTCTGGAATTAAAGGGCCTCTCTGAATCGTAGAAGATAGTTTCAGAGGTTTATGACTCTGAAAGCTGAGAGTTGATGTGAATCCTCTCCATTGACTGTCCACTTCTCCTGATGACATCTTTTACTTGGTCTGGGCATTAAAGTTTATGAACTCACATTCCTGAACCATTCATTCACATCTCTTGTGACCTCTCCTTCTTGAGGTGTGTCACTTCATTACTCACATTGACAGTAAAAGAAGCTGTTTTTGAGAACTTGATGTTGAACTTTTGTATCTTTGTGATTGGTCATGCATTCCTTGGTATTACCATGAGGCTGGATAACAGTGACTTCCTCCATTGTAGTCTGCAGAAATCCCAGATGAGAGGCGTCAGTCTGTTGTAAAACTTACCCCACCCATTGTCCTGAAGTACTTGTAGAACTTTCCTTGGTGTTACTCAGGGACATCTACGTGCTTATAAAGGTGCCAGATAGTTGCCCACTTCAGCCTCCAGTGCAGTCCTGGTTAGTTCTGATCTCTGTCAACTGGTTGGTTGGGAAGGAGCCAGTCCTTGCATGGAGCTCTCTATGTCTCAGCCCTCCCCTCCTACTGAGCCTGTATTTTATACCTTCGAAGATTAATTTCTTTTTTTATATTTTTATTTTTTACAATTTATTCATTTTATATCCTGATTGTAGCGCCTTCCCTCCTTCTTTCCTCCATCCCCCTCTCCTAGTCCACTAAAGGGGGAGTCCTCCTCCCCTGCCATCTGATCCTAGTCTATCAAGTCTCATCAGGACTGCTTGGATCCTCTTCCTCTGTGGCCTGGCAAGGCTGCATCGCCAGGGATAAATGATCAAAGAGCAGGCAACTGTGTTCATGTCAGAAACAGCCACTGGTCCCATTACTCGGGAACCCCCATGGAGATTGAGATGCCTATGGGCTACATCTGAGCAGGGGGTCTAGGTCCTCTCCATGCTTGTTCTTTGTTGGTGCATCAGTCTCTGCAGGGTCCCTTGGGCCCAGATTTTTTTGGCTTTGTTGGTCTCCTTATAGAGCTCCAATAGGTCCTTTTATCCCCCTTTCCTCCATAAGATTCCCTGCACTGTGCCCAAAGTTTGGCTGTGATTCTCAGCATCTGCTTCGATCCCCTGTTAGGTGGAGCCTTTCAGAGGACCTCTATGGTAGGCTTCCTTCCTGTTCCCTCTCTTCTACTGCTTCTGGTGTCTTCTTATACCCATCCTTTCTTACTTGTTTCCTTCTGTGTTCATTTTGGTTTGGGGTCCTTTATGTAACTGCAGTTTTAACTCCAGGAAATGAGGTATGGTAAATGTATGGGGTTTTTTTGCCTGCATATGTGTCAGTGCATCATATGCATGCCTGGTGACCAGAAAAATCAGAGGGTGTCTGATCCCCTAGAACTGGTGTTACACACAGTTGTGAATCACATGTGGGTGCTGGGGATTGGTTCCCTGGGTCCTCTGGAAGGGCAACCAGTGCTCTGAACTGTTGAACCATCTCTCCAGCTCCTTATTTAATGCTTGGTGAAGAATATGGAATTTTTCTTTTATAGTATAAAAATAAATTATAGTTCATGCTTTTTATTATTTGGGAGAAAAAGAGGAGGTCAAAGATGTAATCCTTTTCTTTCCCTACTTTCTCTTTTTTTCCTTCCCTCCTATCTCTCCTCATTTTTTTTTTTTTTTTTATTTGTTGGTTTGGTTTGGTTTGTTTGTTTTCTTTTTCTCTGTTCTTAAACACAGGATGCACTTGCAGCCTTGGAAACCCCAGATGCTGCCAGCCAGAAGAAGAAACTAAGCTCACCACTCTCAGAAGTCATTGTCAGGAACTTGAAAGTTGCTTTGGCTAATAGTTCTCGAAACCCTGGCAGTCTTTCCACCAGCCCCCAGCTGAAGGGTGCTCATTTGGAGGAGGTAGACCTGGTTTTCTTATTTAGTAGAAGGCATCCCTAGTGCATGTGGAAGAACCGTGGCTGATCTGTTTCTTTATTTTCCATGTACAGGAAGAGGCTCCAAAACCACTTGACAAAGTTGTGGTGTGTGTGAGTAAAAAGCTTAGTAAGAAGCAGAGTGAGCTAAATGGGATCGCAGCCTCTCTGGGAGCAGAGTACAGGTAGGTGCAGCTTTATGTTGGTGATGCCAGCTACAGCTCAGAAGGAACCAAAAGCCTTGTGTTCGTTTACAAGAAAGCCTTGTTTTTCCCTGCTTGTATATTTTATCTAATAAAACATCGCCATTTTAATTTAGCATAGCCTTGAAAATACTCTCCACATAACAGTTCATTCTGATATTTTATACAACCAACATATACTTGGGAAACTGTTCTGTGCTACTGTTCTAGAAGCTTGTGATCCATGAGTGGTCAGCATAGTAAAGGAGTTGTTCTTTCATGGAGTTTATTTATTTCTACCTTAGTGATTCTCTGTGAGTAGTACTGAGTATTGTAGCAAGCTCTCCTGGATTAAAATGGCAATTAAAAATTTTTTAGTTTGTTTTAAATGTTAAAAAAAAAAAAAAGGATTTTGGCAGGATATGGTGTTAACACTCCATTAATTGCAGCAGTTGGGAGGCAGAGTCAGAGGCAGATGGATCTCCGTGAGGGTGGACACAGTGAGTTCCAGGATAGCCAGGGCGACATAGTGAGACCTTGTCTTCTCTATTTTCTTAAGAGATGTCTTTTTTTTTTTAATTAATTTATTTATTTGACTGCATGTATGTCTGTGTGAAGGTGTTGGATCTCCTGGAACAGGAGTTACAGACAGTTGTGAGCTGCCATGTGGGTGCTGGGAATTGAACTTAGTTCCTCTGCAAGAGCACTCAGTGCTCTTAACCGCTGAGCCATCTCTCCAGCTCTAAGAGATGTAGTCTTAGGCTGTGGTAGAGTTCTTGCCTAGCACATACAGAAGTCTGGGCTCAGTTCTCAACACAGAGACACAGAGATAGTCTGTGATGGGAAATAGAGTAAATAAACCTGGTGGCCAATGACTGGACAATGGATTTGAATACCTTAAGTTTTAATAATTTGAAAATGCTTTTTGTAATTAGAAAGTGATATATATTATAAACCAAAGTGAAAGGGTTTTTAAAGTATTCTTCTAACATCTTCCTCTACTGTGTACCTGGAAATGGAGCCACTAACATTTGTCAAAACCTGCCATTTTACTATTCTTGCTTAGCCTCTAGTTCTTTGAGATTTGCGTGTTGGAATATTCTGTTCAGTCAGCTGCTATTTCCCTCAGTTATTCCTTTTGCCATATTTGGTTGTTTCAGGTGGAGTTTTGATGAGACGGTAACTCATTTCCTTTATCAGGGTCGGGCAAATGATAGTAATCGAGAATACAAATCTGCGAAAGAAAGAGGGGTGCACATTGTTTCCGAGCATTGGCTTTTAGAGGTAAGCAGTGCTTTTCCCTTCCTTCTTAGTTGGTTGAATATGTTCAAACATTTCAGAGCACAAGCCAGTTTCAGTGACGCCAAATACATTTGCTAATCTTGATTAGCCATGTGGCAACATGTCATGGCAATAACTGCTCTCTTTGGCTGGGGAATGAAGGAGAGATGGTAGAAAGGGTTCAGATTCGCCTGCTTCCTTCCAGGATTCTCACCCCGGGGGTAGGGGTGGGGTCTGTTGGACTCAACGTGGACTGTGCTTATAGGTCCTAAGATCTGAGCTATGGATAGGTCATGCTCTGAGCATTGTATTGTTTTAGCATCAGAACTTAAGATTTTTATTGCTTAAACATTTACCAAATTTTAAGTGAATACTTTTATTCTGATTCCTTTCCCTCCTTATATGAAAAGTGGGTGAAATAAAGAGGTTGGGAGGTAAAGGCTCTTAACGCCAAGCCCAACTATCTGAATTTAGTTCCTAGGACCCACACAGTGGAAGGAGAGAAAACCAATTCCCACAAGGGGTCCCCTGACTTCTACATTCTACTTGTGCACCATTCCTATACCCACACAGTAGAAACAGATAGAAATGTCATCTTAAATTCTTATGAAATTTCATATTTGAGAAGAGTTGATTCAGCGTGTGGATATCCTTTATAGCTATGCTTCTTTCCTTGGTACTCCCTGGAGTGGTTGAGACCTTTCTAAATGCACAGTCAGAATTAGAGCTTTCACTTAGACATTATATTTTAAGAGTAAGGCCAATGTGTTTAATTTATAACTCTGTGTGCATGGGTGTTTGTTGAGGTCATTTTACTTCTAACTTTAATGTGGTTCCAGAGATTGAACTCAGGTCACCAAATTAATTAGGCAAGGACATTTACTGGTTAAGTTATATCCCAATTTGTTACTTAACATGACAAGAGTTTTTCACTGTAAACTGCTTTCTAAAATGCACACTTATATTTCAGTGTGCTCAAGAGTATAAGCGTCTTCCTGAATCTCTTTATCCACACACTTACAACCCCAAGATGAGCCTGGATATCAGTACAGTGCAAGATGGCCGGCTCTGTAACAGCCGGTCACCCTCAGCAGTTTCTGCATCTAAGGACAATGAGGTAGGTAGTGTGGACAGTGTGTCCCTTCTAAGCTGGATGTAGACCTCTGTGAAACCTGATGCAGTGACTTTGAGAAGTTACCATTTTTCTCTTGAATAGCCAGATCATTTGTCTGTAGAAGAAAATGTGACAAACAATATGGTCATGAATAACAAAGAATTGGGACTATTGAATGGGAATGGAAGAAATGATTGTGAAGGAGGTAAGACACTTTCTCATTCCCCCCCCCCCGTCCCATTCACTCCAAAGACAGTTTTTCTGTATAATCTTGGCTATCCTGAAACTTGCTCTGTAGACTAGGCTGCCCTCAAAACCAGACATCGGCCTGCCTGCCTCTTCCTTCCGAGTGCTGGGATTAGGTGTGGGCCACCACACCTGGCTTTGCTTTTTACTTTTGAAAACATTTGTTTTGACTTAAAGCCCCAGCTGCATTTGCCACTAATGAAAGAGCTGGGTTAGCATTCCAGCTTTGAAGCCAGATATTGACTTCTCTCTAAACAGCCCTGGAGATGCATCTTGTTCCAGTCTAGGTCAGCTGTGTGGTGTAGTCACCCACAGCTTCATGTCAGTGATAAGCTCTGTACTCTCTGGGATAGCACTTTGAATTTCGTCCAAGATTTTCTCTTTGCATTTTCATGGCTTGACAGTTCAGCATAAGAGGCATGGCCTTTTGTCCTAACTTGGCTTTTGCCTTCCTCACTTAACTCAGTCATTACTAGTTTTACCTTAGAGTTAGGGGTGTGTGACTTTTCCTTTAACTTGAACACTTACGCCACTGAAGGATATGAATTGAACTAATTTGAATACTGTCGTTTCTTGGGAATTGAGGAGGTCCAAGGAGGGAAAGATGGGAGCAACCAGTCATAGCACACATGGCTTTTTAGTGTGCATTTGTACAGGTGTGGTTTACACCATAACGACATCTATGATCACTGGTCACAGGTGGTCACCCAGATAGACGTATTAAGAAGAAGTGGACAATGGTTAAAACATGGTTGCCAAAGCCTTTGGTTTGCTAAGAAAATCAGCAATGTTTCAGTGTTTTGTTTTTTGTCGTTATAAAAACACATACCTGAACCTGGGTAAATAATATATAAAGAAAGGAGAGATTTTTAGCTCAAACAGCCGTAGAGAATAAAAGTCTTGGCTTTATCGATTCGAACCTTGGTGAAGCCCTGGCTACATCCTGGCATGGCAGGAGTGTTTATCAGAAAGGGAAAGAGTGCAGCTGGGCGAGTGTCACCACAGGGAAAGATTAGAAGCGAGGTAGACTAGGCTTACTCTTGTCGTAGCGACCTAGAACGGAAGTAGCCTGAGTCTCCCCTGAAAATGACATTCATTGCTTCTAGGGCAGTGTTCCTGATGACCCAGCCACCTTAGGCTAGGCCTCACCTCTTAAAGGGTCTATCCACTGCACAGCACCACACCAAGTTTCAACCCACAGACAGTAGGTTGTACACTCAAGCTGTAGAATAATATTTGTGAAATAGGATAAAGCAAGATGTGTCTGCACAGGAGCTGCTTCAGTCTTGCTTTTAATTTGGCCATGTAGTATTTGGACTGCCCTGCTTTATTTTGCTGTTTCTGGTTAGGTGGCTTGATAGGTTATTTTGAATTTCTTGATATCACAAATAGCTCTGTGCTGATTACTTTATTTAGAGCTATCTGGTCTGTTTTAATGGATTATTCTCTGGCTTCTCCTTCTTTATCCTACCTACTAGAACTTCTGACTTACCTGTTAGTGATGTTCTGCTCATTTTGAAAATACTTGCTATCTGCTTCAGTGTCTAGTCTATAATAGAAAGGAAAGATAAATATGTTGTTGTCTGTGCTTTCAAGGATTAGTGAAAGCTTGGCTGGTGCTTTCACAGCAGTAATCCCAGGATTTGAGGCAGGAGGGGGGAGTTCAAGGCCAATCCGGGCTATGTGGCAAGACCCTGTCCCCCACAACAAATAAACAAATAGAACAATTGAAGAAAATTAGGTACATACAAATGACTATATGAATCTCAGTGTAGTTTGCACCAATGAGAAAGGATCAGAAGCAAGCAAGGAGCTCTTCAAAGTGACTAATCAAGTCTTCCTCCAAGGGAGTCCTCATTATTTCAAATATGGTCCTTGTGCTACCTTTGTATTTTGTGACATTTAAGCCTTGACTTCCTGTATAAATATTCAGTAAATGGCAACAGTTTGTGTTCGGCTAAATCTAAACAAAATAAGATACGATTGACATGGGAAGTTTATAGCAGGGTAGGTATGATGAAGCATGTATGTAATCACAGCACTCCAGAGGCTGAGGAGGAGGGGTCGCAATTGGGAGGTCAGCCTCATTGCACACTGGACACCTATCTTCAAAAACCAGCAGGGGAGAGGGAGTAAAAGGGAGAGAGGACAGATTTCTCAAATATAGGTATTGATTCCTATATTTGTTTCAAGCTCTAACACAGGCCTTGGAGATGAGAGAAAATTTTCAGAAGCAGCTGCAAGAGATCATGTCAGCCACTTCTATTGTGAAGACACAGGCGCAGAGGACTTGCCTGTCGAGAAGCAGTTGTAACAGTACTTCTTCAACTCCTGACAGCGCTCGCTCTGCTCGGAGTGGACGAAGCCGAGTCCTGGAGGCACTCAGGTTTGTGTGTCAGCAGTGGCTTGAAAGCAGGAAAGCCCCTGGTGGAGGCACCTGGGAACTTAGATTGGTGGGTTATTTTATTTTATTTTTTTCCTTAATTTTAAAATAAAGCAAAAGTGTAGACTACTAAGACCAGCAGAGGGGTTTATGGTGGGACCTTATTTAGTTCAAATTCTGCGTATGTCCCAATGTCATCTTTGGTTTTATCTGTTGCTGATGGGTGTTCCTCCGTCTTCTTGCATAAGCAGTTGTTAGTTCTTTCTTTGAGGTTTGTGATGTTTAGAGTCCATTTTTCCATTTGAAGTAGACACAGCGGGCAGTCAGTCCTCTCTGTTCCATAGTATTAGCACTAAACAATAAGTGTATACATAGTATTAGAGTGGTTTTAAAACATTTTATTATCGTGTGTGCTATATGGGCACGGACACATGCATACTGTAGTACCTGTGCCAGGTCAGCATCTGAGACTGAAAGGCTCGGTTAGTGGGTGGTTGCTTGGTTGGTTTTTAAGACAAGATCTTGTTCTGGCTGGTCTGGAATTCAGAGAGATCGCCTGCCTGCTTCTGCCTCTGCCTCCATCAACTTTGGGTTATAATCCTTGCTGTCCTTGCCTCTGCCTCTGTCCAGTTTGGAATATAATCCTAGCTGTCCTGGAACTCAATATGTAGACCAGGCTGGCCTTGAACTTATAGAGATCCTCCTGCCACTGCCTACTGGGTGCTGAGATTAAAGGTGTATGCCACTTACTAACAATGTATGTACCTAGGTGGAGTGGCACAGGCCTAAATCCCAGCCCTTGGAAAGTGAAGTCAGGAAGATGCCAAGTTTAAAGCCAGCCTAGACTATGAGAGCCTGTCTTAATAATACAAGCAGAAAGTATATAACTGCTTGTGCGCTCGTGCTCTTCCCCTGCTCCCTCTCCCCCTATGTGTATTTGTATTGTCCTCTGACCTCCACATAAGTTGACTGTGGCATGTGTACACACACAGAGAGACACATGCACACATGGATAAATGAATAAAATACTTGAAATTTTTTTTTGTTGTTTTTTTTGAGCCAGGGTTTCTCTATGTAGCCTTGGCTGTCCTGGAATACATTTGTAGACCAGGCTGGCCTTGAGCTCTTGAACTCACAGAGATCTGACTCCCCAAGTGCTGAGATTACAAGGGTGCACCACTGTGCCCATTTTTGTTGTTGTTTGTTTTTCTTGTTTTGTTTTTTTGGGTTTTTTTTTTTTTTTTTTTTTGAGACAAGAGTTTCTCTGTGTAACAGAGTCCTAGTTGTCCTGGGCTCACTTTGTAGACCAGACTGGCATTGAACTGACAAGAGAGCCACCTACCTCTGCCTCCTGAGTGCTGAGATTAAAAGCATGCACCACTATACCCAGCTTCAGAAATATTTTAATGCATTCATAATTCAACAGTTCAGTAAGTGATCTATCATAGACTGGACATTTTGGTTGGCAAGGGTTAAAAGACCCATTAATTATAGCTTCTATAATGTTATGTTAAAAATACAATTTAAAGCTAGGTATAGTGGCACATGCCTTTAATCCTAGCATTCAGGCATAGGCAGGTGGATCTCCGTTAGTTCATAACCAATCTGGTCTACATTGTGAGTTCCAGGGCAGCCAGATCTACATACTGAGACCCTGCCTCAAAAATAACAAAATATAACTTAATTATTAAGATAGATATGGAGGTGTACACCTGTAATCCCAGCTCATGGAAGCTAGAATGGGGGAATATCAGGAGTTCAGCATCATCCTTCACTACAGAGCAAATGGAGGCCACCCTGGGATGCATGGGCCCTACCTATCTTTAAAAGAAAGTTTAAAATGAAAATATTAAACCCAGTAACTATAGTTTTCTAAACATTACCATGTTTCCTAACTTACAGAATTAAAAAAGATCCCATTTTTAAATGCAGCATTATTTTAGAATTTTTTAAATTGACAGTATTTTTTGAAATATTCTAGATACCCTTTTTAAATTTCCAGTTAGAAATATTTTAAAAATAAATTAAAGTGATTTATTGGTGCATGCTATGCTGGCTAGGTTTTTTGTTTTGTTTTTTAATTTAGCATATACTAGGGTCATCCAGGAAGAGGAAGCCTCATGAGAAAATGCCTCCATCCCTTTGGCATGTAGGTAAATCTGTGGAACATCTTTCTTGACTAATGATTGATGTAGGTGGGCCAAGCCCACTGTGGGTGGTCCCTCCTCTAGGCAGGTGGTCCTGGGTTGTGTAGTAACTGAGCAAGCCATGGAAAGTAAGTCAGTAAGCAGCACTCCTCTACACTCTCTTCAGTTCCTGACTCCAGCTTCTTGGTTGAGTTTCTACCCTGACTTCTCTTGGTTATTGGTTATTACTGTAAGCTGAAATAAACACTTTCTCTCCAAGCTGCTTTTGTTCATGAGGTCTTACCATAACAGCAGGAAGCAAACTAGGATGCATGCCTGTAATCTTAGCACTTGGGAAGCAGAAGCAAGAGGGTCATCTCAAGTTTAAAACCATACCGGCAATAACGAGACCCTCTATCCGAAAAAGAAAAGGGTTTCTTTGATTGATTTATTCAACAAATATTGTGTATTTGTACTACTTACCGATTTTCTGCACTTGGATTCAGCAGTGGCTGCTATTTAAAATTGTCTCTTCTATTTGTTAGGCAGTCTCGACAGGCAGTGCCTGATAACAACACAGAGCCCTCCCAAAATGAGCAGATCATTTGGGATGACCCGACAGCAAGGGAGGAAAGAGCAAGGCTCGCCAGCAACTTACAGTGGCCGAGCTACTCCACACAGTTTTCTGAGCTTCAGGTTGAAGCTAAAAAACTAGATGATTCTCCTGGAAAGCCTGTAGACCATTCGGACATTGCTGAGCAAGGTAATAAGAAAAAACTATTTGTTTGTACTGTGCATGTTGTTTTCTATATTGCACATACAAATGAAAATTAACTATACTGTATCAATCAGTCAATTGAAAAATATTTTTGATCTTCAAATTTAGAAATTTAGGTTTAGCTGTTTTTCCTTCTAGCCTCTTTTTATCTGTTAGATAGTGTTGGTGTGTTTTTTGATCTTTAGAAATTTAGGATTAGCTGTTTTTCTTTTAGCCTCTTTTCTATCTGTTAGATAGTATTTGGTGTTCTTTGGCTTATGTGAGCTTCTCTCCCACCCCAACTGGGTAAGGTTATCTTCCTGTGCTGGGTGATGTACAGACTTAGCTTCTAATTTTTTCCAAGAATTGCTTTCATTTTACAAATTTGTTTATGTTATAGTGATGAAAAGATCAATTTTGAAAGGAAGGTTTCACAAAACCCAGGTAACACCTGTGCCCTTTCAGATTATGTGGTTGCGTTTCTTTATAAGCTGGAGAAATGGCTACTCTCTTTTTTATGTAGTGCTTGTTTTTGAGGCAGGGTTGTACCCATGTAGGTCAAACCTGAGATTTTTTGTCTTGGCCTCCCAAGCTGCTGGGGTTACAAGCAGACACCACCATGCCTCTCTCCGCCTTTGTATAGTTTTGATGGCAGAGTTCATGGTTCATTTTATTTTGGCCAAGACAAGTGAAGGTGTTCTCCTAAATGTGTTCAAAGTTACATGTATACACTATCACGCTGCATTTCTTCCTCACCCTCAGCCTTGTGTGTGACTGAAGCGCCAGGGCACCCAGGCTCTGAAGAACCAGAAACTCCAGCAGCAGATAGACATCTGATTTCCAGGCCTCAAGCTCCCAGTGTGGCTTTCCCCCTGGCCAAGCCACCTGTGGCTCCACAACCTATGGACAAGGTTTGTTGACCCTTGGTATGATGATGGCGGCTTTGGGTATTGTTCTTATGTTCTTATGCTGGAGTAGGAATTTGTTTACTGCATCAGACTCCACACTATAGGAAATTCAATTTCTTTGTATTATAATTTGTATATTGGGTACCTTAGAAGACTGAATAAAATGTTGCTATAAAATAACTATCTGATAATAGTTTTAATATTAATTTTTTTCCAAAATAAAACTATTCTAGATTGAAACACTGGAGGAGACTCATGAAAAACTTGAAAAACAGTATGTGTTCCAGATGTCATCTCTGAATTCTCAAGAGCGGATTGAATACTGTCACCTGATTAAAAACCTAGGTACCAATATTTTATATTTATAAATTTTTTTCTTTTTGTATTTTATTATTACAACTTATTTAGAATACAAATATAATCATGTTTCTGTTGTGTAATGGGGAGATGTTGAGTAAGTTATTAAGCCCATACAGTGAGTCAGCATTAGGGCTTTGATTTTGAAAATCAAATTAAGTCTGATTTTTTAAAAATATCAGATTAAGCTGTAATCTATATCTAATTTGCTGTACCAGTTACTAAGTCGTGGGAGCTAAGAATTCAAAGGTTTTGCTGGGCCTGGTGATATGCACCTCCCAGCACTCAGGACTTCTCAGTAACATTACCCTTCTACCTAGCTGTCAGACGTTCCCGCTGAGACCTGGGAGAGGCAAGTTGAAAGGCCTGATGTATTGTAGCTGGACTATGGAGCAGGATGTGGGCCACCTGGGCCACATCATACTGTCTGGTAGCCATTCTGCTGGGAAGTAAAAAGAAACCGGAGAAATTAACTTAGTATGCAAAAACTGTTAATCAGCATTTATTCAGCATAAAACACCAGAGAAATGTATTTGCAGGTTTTTTTTTTAATTCATTCATTTGAAATAGCCCCTTGAATTTACACTAGATTTGTTTTTAAGTTGTTTGATAGCTCTATAGAGTCAAGATAGTTGTACTAAGAAAACTTGATCTCAAAGCTTGGCATAGCAAAAAAGAAAAAAATTCAGAAATAATAGGGCCAGCCACTGGTGTCTCTGTTTGACAAGCTGAAGCAAGAGGATCTCAAATTTGAAGTCAGACTGGGCTGCCCAGTGAGACAGTTTATAAAAAAGGGATAGGAGGTACTGAAGGGCTCAGGGTTAAAAGCACTGAGCGAGGACCAGGGCTTTAGACCCAGTACCCACATGGTGCCGCACAACTATCTTGTAACTCCAGTTTTAGGGGCTCCGATACCGTCTTCTGGCCTCCACAGGTACTAGGCCACTTTGGTGCACAAATATACAAGCAGGAAAAATGCCCATACACATTAATAATAATAAAGTGTTTTTAAAGCAGAGAATGGGGTGGCATGGCTCAGTGTAGAGTACCTTTTCCCACACACATGTGAAGCCCTGAATTTAAAGTGTATACATGAGTTAGCATTGGAGGTTTGATTGTTAGGAAACCCCAATCCCAATCAATGTTTCAAATCACTGGGTCATGGGATGATAAATTGAAGCGAATGTTAGTTTTATATATCTATATGTCTTAAGTTTTTTATTTGTTTTTTGCACAGTTAAGATGACACTTTTTGGAAAGACAGTAGGAAAACTAACAGAGTTTCTAGTAGAACTAGTAAAATGTCTCTCTGCACAAGGTGGGTCGGTGATCGAGAAGCAGTGCTCAGACCCCAGCTGCACACACATGGTTGTGGGCTACCCACTGCGCAATGAGAAGTACTTAGCCTCCATGGCAGCTGGCAAGTGGGTGCTTCATCGCTCCTACCTGGACGCTTGCAGGACAGCTGGGCACTTTGTGCAGGTGTGTGTTTACATTCCTACGAAAGGTTTATTCTAGGAGATCCCTGATCAGATACTCAGATGCATGTAATTTAAGTGACCATATGTGGCTAGTTAAGATTACACCAGTTGTGTAATGATCTTACTAACAAAACGTTTGCAGAGTCAGGGTGCTTTATTCACATACCTCTTTCTTAAATGTTTCAGTTGGCATACAAAAAATGAGTTTCATTGTGGCCTACTTGCTTTTTGTTACCTGATTTGTCAGTGCTTTTTTTATTGACATGATATCCTCTTATTTTGAGAAGATTTCAAGATAGCTCATTGTAAGCCTTTTTCTTTACTATTTAGTGTCTACCCTGCAGCTTCTGAAGCTTCTGGTATGAGTTCCTTGGGAGTTGTATCAGTCCATGCCTCCTCCGACTGCTCTCATGAAGCCAGATCTCTTGAATGTACCAAGTCACCAAAATACAGCTGTCTGGCCAGGAGTGTTGTTTCTGGGAAATGAGTTTCTGGTTTTAATTAAAAGCCAGCTGTTCTTGATTCTTAACATAAGAATGAAGCTGTGGGGCTGGAGAGTTGGCTCAGAGGTTAAGAGCACTGGCTGTTCTTCCAAAGGTCCTGAGTTCAATTCCCAGCAACCACATGGTGGCTTATAGCCATCTAGCATGAGATCTAGCGCCCTCTTCTGGCCTGCAGGCAGAATACTATATAAATAATAAATAAATAAATCTTAAATAAATTCAAGTGAAGAATGAAGCTATATATCCTGTGTATTCACAAAATGTTTAGTGTTCTCTACACCTCTAACAGTTGAACATACAGATTTGATCTTAGATTTAAGGCTTTTTGGTGCCAGAAAATGCTCTGTGTTAGAGGAACCCAGAAGTTGACTGGCCTAATTTTCTAGGAAGAAGATTATGAATGGGGAAGTAGCTCCATACTTGCTGCTCTCACTGATGTCACTGAGCACCAGCAAAAACTAGCACTTGGAGCAATGAGATGGAGGAAAAGAATCCAGCAAAGAAAAGAATCGGGCATTGTTGAGGTATTATTATATAGATACTACAAATGAGATTCAGTATTATGACTTTTGTTTTAAAGAGAATTATACTTGACCAAGTAATTCTAAGTTTTTTTTATTCCTTAATTGATAGAACTAAAATTTGTGTTGTAGCTGTGCAGGTGCTGTCACCTTTAATTCCAGCATTTGGAAGGTAGAGGCAGGAGGGTGACTGAATTCCAGGACATCAGGGCTATGTAGAGAAATCTTGTCTACGGAAATAAACAAAGGGCACTGTGTTGTACAGTAAGATGTGGGTCTTCTCAAGATAACTTGGCTTTTCAGGATGTAGCATCAGGAGTCCTAAACTGAGTGTGCAGATTCTCCCTAATAAGCCTGAGACCCAAAGTCTGTATTCTTTGAGTAGGGAAAGTATGTCCTTTATTTTCTGATCACTTATTAAAAGCTAACATTTCTTTTAATTATAAATCTAGGCCGCACATCACAACATTAATAATACTCGTGATTTATGCCAGTAAAAACCAGATTTTTTTAAGCCAGCACACATGATCATGAGTTTTGTTAATAAGTTTAAGCCAGCACACATGATCATGAGTTTTGTTAAAAAGTTTCCATGCACATATGTCACTGTACCTGTGCCCATCCTCACTCTCCACTGTCCCCCCGCACATCCTCCCTGTCTTGCTGGCCTCTTTCCTCCGCCCCGTTCAGTCCCCCTTCTGCTTTTATATCCTATATTCATTTATTAACCTTAAATTTTTAAATTTTTGTTTCGATATAGAGAAGAAAACATGCTATTTGTCCTTCTTAATCTGGACTTAAGTGATGATCTTCACTTCTATCCATTTCCCTGCTGACATCATTCCATTCTTTATGGCTAAATCATACTCCACTATATGTGCCTATGTATTACATGACAGCATTCCCTTAAGCAGTTAATATGGACTGATGTTAGCCATTTTGGCTAGGTTGATAGGGAATCTCAATTTAGCTTTGATTTTCATTTTCCTGGTGGCTAAGGATTTTTTTCAAGTATTTTCCACATGTATCTTGTGTGTGTGTGTGTGGGGGGTGCTTATAGGCAGCTGTCTGTGTGGATTCTGGGAATCAAACTCTGATCCTCTGCAAGAACAATTTGCTCTTTGAACCTCTAAGCCATCTCTCTGGCCCTTCGTTTGTATTTCTTTTGAGAACTTTTGGTTCACCTCATTTACCTGTTGACTGATTGAATGATTTGAGGTTGTTTTTTAAGTTTTTGACTCAGTCTCATGTAAAAGAGAGTGATCTCAAAATCCCTGTGTTGCTGAGGATGACCTTGAATTTCTCCCATATCCACCTCCCATGTGCTGGGACCCTGCCTTGGGTGATTGGGTTTCTTTTGTTGTTGTTTGGGTTTTTTGTTTTCTTTTGTTTTGCTGTTTTTGATGTTGAATTTTTGAAATTCTTTATAGATTCTAGATGTTAATCTCCTGTTGGATATACAGGAGATTTTCTCCCACTCTTAGGGTGTTATCACACTAGCAGATTGTTTCTTTGCTTTGCAAAAGCGTTAGAGATGGAACCCCATTTGTCAAGTCTTTTTATTTCTCCTTTATTACGGTTTTTATGGTAACACGGGTGAGGGTGGATACCATGGCACCAGTGTGGAGGTCGGAGCACAACTTGCAGATGGTTCTTGCCTTCCACTGGGGATGGAACTCAGGTCATCAGACTTGACACATCTCTCTATCTCTGAGCCATCCCACCTGTCCCTCATACGTTAATTTCTGAAACATTAGAGTTCTTTTCAGAAATTCCTTGCATCCTACCTCATAGTGAAATTTTCTCTCCTCTCGTGTTCAGAGTTTGAGGTCTTAAATGACTTTGAATCCAATTTCAGGAGGAGAATCTAGTATTTTTGTTTGCATCTTATTTATAAGATCCTGAAGTACTGTGTTTATTGTAGTTACCAGACCCATCATTAGTTCTTTTGTTAGTTCTTTTTGTTATATTAAATGTGTTAATATAACATCTATCTACTGTGTCACAAATTTGCTTTTAATATTTATTTTTAATACACAGTTCTTTGTATTCTGAAATTTTAAAACAGCATCTATATGGTATGGGATTATCTAAGTTGTTATCTAAAGAAAGACGGAGGAGGAGGAATCCATAGGTTTGACCAGACTGTCAGAGAACTCGCAGAACATCTAGGCATCCCACTATTAAAGTGCTATCATGATCCATTGAGTTCTTTGTATTCTCCAAAGCCTGGTTAGCCTCCAGTTCCTTTCTTTCAGGATAATTTTACTGTCTTCTGTTAAAGTGTTATTTCTTACATATTTAATTTTCCAAATATCAAACATTTTGAAGAGATACAAGGAAGGCCCCACTACTGTAGAGCCAGGCTTTCACTCTTATCCTTAACAGCTGCTGGAAGCTCAGCTCACTGACACACCATGGCTACACACTAAGACCACATGTTTAATGCTCTTTACTGGAAACAGCTATGTAGTGACAGAAATAAAGCTTATTGGATTATTGGCCCAACATATGGCTCAGCAGGTAGGAAGGCACTTGCTACCAAACGTGACGAACTGAATTTGATCCCCAAGGCTTGAATGGCAAAAGTATAGAACTGACTCCTGCAAGCTGTCCTCAGACTTAATGGACATAAGCTTCCTACCCATTTTTCCAGAGAAATAATGGGGGGGGGGTACTTGTTGACATTTTAAGTCCACTGAGGGTACTCCAGTAATCTAGCACTTGGGAAGGCAGGAGAATCAGGAATTCAGAGCTAGCCTTAGCTTACAGTAGGTAATTAGTCTGAGCTTTATGAAATTTGGGTTTTTTTGTTGTTGTGCGTTTTTGCTTTTTAAAAAGCTAATGTGCTGGAGAGGTGGCTCAGGGTTAAGAGTGCCTGCTGCTTTTCCAGAGGACTCAGGTTCACTTCCCATTACCCACAAGGCTGTTCATCTGTTATCTTGTCCTAGAGGATCTGATGCCCTCTTCTGACCTCTGCAGGCACTGCCCCACAGATGATACACAGTCTTTGTATAGATATGCAGACAAGACACCCTACACATTTAAAAAGGAAAAAAAAAAAGACAAAAAGTTACTTATGACATTAAACAATTAAAGGTAAATTCATGCATTACCTCTGCAGGTTGAATGTTTAGTATATTAAAAATGGCATGCACTTTTTTTTTTTTTTTTTTTTAATAGGGAGCATTTAGTGGCTGGAAGGTTATTTTACGTGTTGACAGGCACCGAGAAGCTGGGTTCAAGCGCCTTCTTCAAGCAGGAGGAGCAAAGGTTTGTGCTGTGCTGGATCAATTTACTGCTATTCAAGGGGCAGGCTTGCATAGACTTTTCCAGCAATGTTTGATGTTTCCATTCCCTGTGTCTTTTGAGGTACAGCCCTTGAGTGCATACTTCACAGCTGAGCCACTTTGGAGTATGAGGGGATTCTGATGCTTCTCTTTTTTCATTAGGTGTTACCTGGTCATCCTTTACCTTTATTTAAAGATGCTACACATCTCTTTTGTGACTTCAATAAACTAAAACCTGATGACTGCAGAGTTTTCATAACAGAGGCTGCTGCCCAGAACATGGCCTGCTTGAAAACAGAATATATCGCTGATTATCTCGTGCTGGTTTGTCACATTCTATTTTTACTTCCATTTATTATCATTATCATTGTTATCATATTGGGGGGGGGGAGCACATGTGTGCCAGTCAGAGTGGCTCAGGTGTAAGAGAACTGGCTGCCGTAGGACTCAGCCTCAATTCCTATCAATGACAGAGACCTACCATGCCCCACTTCAGACCTAATGTTTTGTGAATAAAAAGAATCTGCTAATATTTTTTTTTATGGAAAACTGTTATGACTTAAATTTTTAAGAATTTTAAAAACTATTGAGTGTGTGTGTGCGCGCATGTGTGCAGGTGTCCATGAGAATTCAGAAGAGAGTTATATCCCCTAAAGTTACAGGAGGCTGTGAGCTATCCGATGTGCATGCTGAGAATCAAACTTGGGTCTTTGCAAGAACACTGTGTCCTCTTAGCTGCTAAGCTCTCTCTCCAGCCCTAAATGAATGAATGTTTAACAGTATACTTGCTTCCTAGGTCTAAAGTTAATATTTGCACAAGTAACATTTTAATAATCTGTTTTATTGCATATCATTTCCTCCTCTTTGTTTATTTGGTTAGTAGTTTTTTTGAGACAGGGTTTCTCTGTGTTAGCCTTGGCTGTCCTGGACTCACTTTGTAGACCAGGCTGGCCTTGAACTCACAGAGGTCTGCCTCTCTGCACTCTCACCGCCCGACTCTTTATCGTTTTTTAATGAATTTACTCAGACACTTATTCATGTATATCATTAATTAGAATCCAGTATTTGTTCACAGCTCCCTTAGAAGAGCTATTGTACAGTGAAAACTGTAGATCACCATTTCATTGTGTTAGTTTCCCAGGTGATGGTCTTGCAAATCCTTCAGTATCAATTGCATAACCTTATCTCAGGAGGCATCCTTCAGCCTTTTCAGTGAGCTCTATCCCAGCCCCACAGAGATAAGCTTGTTTGATTATTTGTCCCCAGAATATATTAATCTTGCCTGTTTGAGAGCTTCATATACCTGCCATTAGAGAACACATACTGTTATGTGGAAGCGTCACTTAGCAGAGTGTCCATGGGTCCAGGGTGTGCATGTGTGTTGGTAGCTCATCCCTTTTTATTATAGACCGTTCTGTCTGAATAGAGCATCCAGGCCACTTTCCTTCCAGTTGGTGGTGATACTAAATATGAACAGGGGCCAGATGTGTACAAGTGCTGGGCTATAGACTAAGTATACACTTAGTTTATGTGATCAGGCTGGCCTTAAATTTGCAGGGCCCCCTGCTTCTGCCTCCTCCTAAGATTGCATGGTATGCAGTATCAGACCTTTTCTAGAGGAGATTCGGTGCCACTTTACACCATCATTTAGTTTTATAGTCATTTGACTTTTAGCCATCTGGTAGAGCTATAGTGGGGTGGTAACATCATGCTTTTTAAGAATCAACCTTTTTATCTCTTTGCTGTGTCTCTCTCTGGCTCACTGTCTTGAAATGGAATCCTATCTCGGCCTTCCAAGTGCTGGGTTTACAAGCATGTATCTCTATGCTTGGCTTAAATTTCTATTTCTTGTTAAATGCTGTAAAATAATTTATATATTTTGTATCCTGCCTTTTCTCAGGGTCCCAATCAAGACGTTCTCTGGTATTCTTTTTCTAAAAGTTCTACAACTTTGGCTTTTACTATTTTGTTTTACCTTTATTTTGTGTGCACGTGTGTGGGTGCTGTCAGAGGCCAAAAGAGGGTATCTCTTCCCCTGGAGCTGGCCTTATAAGTAGTTGTAAGCTGTCTGACAAGGATGCTGGGAACCAAATGCTGGTCCTTTGCCAGACTAGCAAGTGCTCTTAACCTTAAACTCTATCAGCCCTATAGCTTTTGTCTGTGACCTGTGTCAAATTAATTATCCTTTGGGCTGTGAGGTAGGGGCTGGAGTTTCCCCCTACAGCTAGATGTCCATCATTTGTTAAATAGACTTTCATCGATTCAAGAGGGGCTTTGGTACTTGTCTGAAAGTCATGTGTCCTACACCTGGCTAGAGAATTCTGTTTTAATTATCCCTGCATAGTCCTAGAGCCCTTTTCACTTCTAGAAAATCTTCAGCATGTGGTTTTATATTTAAAATAAACTTACAACTAGGCTATAATTGGTTTTACTCTTTTTCTTTACCCACCCACTCTAGTCTGCTCGGAGTAAATACTTTACTGATCCACATAAAACCTAAAAGCCCTCCATAGATCTGGGGCAGTGGTGGTGAGGGGAGAGAATGGGAATAATTGTAGGACCTTCGTACATGCTGAGCTCAGGTGGCACCACTGAGCTGTATCTCCATCCTGCAGTTTTTATTTCACTCTTGGCAACTACTGATCTGTTACCAGTTTCTAAGATTCCTGTAGTTGTCATGTGTAAATGATATATCAATGTCTCTAGTATTCTTGGGTGTGACAGCAATGCCTGTAATTCTATCAGGATGGAGACTGAGGCAGGAAGATCAGAAAGGCCATCATGACTGCTAGCAAGTTTAGGCCAGCCTGAACTACATAGTGAGACCTGTCTCAAAGTACAAAAAATAAGAAAAACAAAAAACCTGTTAAGAGTATGATATTTATCTTTTGCAAACTTCGTAAGTTTTCTCCAGACTGTTGCTTACATCCTTTGCTTAGCCATTGCCAGGGCAAAGGATGTTTGGGTTTTTGTTTAGGTGTTTTATGAAGGAAAGCAACTAGGACCATTTGTGTAGTTTTTTGTTGTTGTTGTTGTTTTTTTTTTTTTCCTGGGACTGAGTTTTCATTTCACTGGGATTATGCACTTAAGTGTCTGAGTGCTTTTCACTGAGTGCCTCTTTTAAATTTCTTGGTACTATTTTGTTAGAAATTTGATACCATGAACTAGTATTTGGAAGGAAGAGACGTGGTTTCTTGTAGTTCAGGCTGACATCAAACTATGTAGCTAAGAATGACCTTGAATTACAGCTCCATAGCACCATGCCTGTTTTGCAATTCTAGAGATCAAACTCAAAAGTTCCCTGTATGGTAGACAAATGCGACAGCCCAGCCATGGCTCACATTTTCCCACTTTTCATTGAGTTGCTTTTTTACTGGTGAACCTTGAAAATGTTTGTTCGTGGATAATAGCTCTTTGCTGGATCTGTGGGTTCCCCCTCCCAGGCTATATAGCCTCTATTCTCTTAGGGCCTATGGCACAGTTTTATATTGTAATGAGGCCTGATTTAACATTTTATGGAGTTGGTCCTTTCTGTAGCCTGCATTAGGTCTTACAGCCGGCCATTTTTTTTTCTTGAAAGTCTTATGGGTTTTGTGCTTACAATTAATTTTGAGCTAATTCCTTTTTAAGATGTGAGATTTGGATCAAAAAAAGATATTTCTCTAAAAATGTCCAACTGTGTTGGAAGAACCGTGTTTTCTCTGTAGATTGGTTTTAAATCTTGGGTGTATTTTGTGGGACAGCATCTTGAGTGCCAGTGATGCATGTTCTTTCCTCTTGTAACACATACGTGGCTACTTAATAAGCCTGTTAGGAGGCAATAAGCTCTCCGTGCTTTTTCACGGTCCTTGTAGGTATTTTAGATACATTTACATACATCTAGGCTAAGCTTGTTTACTTTTAAGTTAGCTAAAGTTTTCACAAAGGTGGGCATTGATGTAGCATCACTGTGATTAATTATACGTGGACACTGGGTGAGTGTGGCATCAAATTCGATCTGCAGGGGTTTTTTGTTTTTCTTTTCTTTAGCATTTGGCGATTGTCAAGCTGTTAACTCTTAGGTCAGTTTAAGTATATACCTGAGTTTTTTGTTTCACTGTGTATTCCGGGTTGACCTTGAAAAACTATGCTCCTTCAAGTGTCCCCTGTGTGTGCACTTCCATGCCCTGTATAAGCGTTTTATTCTTCAGTACAATTCTGGTTGAAAGTGGGTTATGTTCTGTTTGGGTTACACCCTAGATACCATGCATGCATTTCCTTTAAAGGGTACTGTTTATTTGTTTGCATTTATTTAACCAACCATAGAAGAAGCAGCTGAGCTGTCAGTTCACATTTTAGCCTTAACTAGTGTCTCCTTTACATAGCTTACAAAGATTTGGCTGGGTTCCACATATTTATTTGTGGCTTTGGTTTTTGTTCAGATACCCAACCTTATTTTCTAAAGGATTGTATTTGCTTTCCTGGTTCTTTAAGACTTTTCTGTTAGAATTTTAGCAAGTCTGTTTAACAAACACACAAAACAACAACCCAGAAGTATTTTCTTGTTTCATTCTCCAGTATGTTAATGTATTTAGTCAGAATTTATCAGTGCTACCAGAGGAATAAACTGGGTCAGAGAACTGGCTCAGTACAATACTTGAGTTCAATTCCCAGCACCCAAAAAGGCAAGCATGGTGGCGCCTGCTGGTCCAGGCTAAGTTCCAGGTTCCAAGTCTGAAGCATTCAGAGCTACAAAATATACTAGAGAGACCTTGTCTTTGGCTTGGAAATTTCTGGTTATTTGCTTTGGGGGAATAAATAGAGAGGTTTGCAGTCAGGTGGAAAGTCTTTAATGTCCTTGCTACCTGCTAGTGACAGTGGCTCACTTTTATCTGTAAATGGGGATGAAAACACCTATCTGGGGTATAAGATAGTAATCCACGCCACTAGCTTTTGGCTACCCCACATACCCCCCAAATTCAATCCATATTTTAACCATTAAGATCTGAGTCAGCCACATTTCACCTGAGCATTGTTATCACAGGGTGTCCTGTGAGGACCCTAACTGGCAAACCTTGAAAAAAAAACAAAACAAAACACCTGTGAATATGCAGTCTTTTCCAAAGGAATGGAATCCACTGCTTCACTGCCTACAAATTTGAAATCTGAAAGTTCCCTCTTCCCATCCTAGGAATCCCCTCCTTGTGTGGATAACTACCGACTGTCAGAAGCTGCTTTATTCCAGAATAAGGAAGCTGGGCTTGGATTACCCCAGAAGAGGAAAACTCCCACAGAGAACGGTGTCAAACGGCCTCGGATGCACTGATGTACTATTGCCACCAAACAGCAAATGTTTTCTAGTTCAGAGATGGCTATGGGTTGGCGACAGTGCGCTTGTCCCTGGGTTTGATTCCCCAGCAATGCAAAACAAGAATTTCAGCTACAACCTAAATGCTGCTGTGATAGGTTTGTGTAGCAGTTTAAAGGCATGCATCTGAACTGGTCCTGTGAACTTGATGCCTTTAACACCTGAATTTGAATCACTGAATATTGACTGTTCCTAATAAAAGAAACTTCAAACTAGCTTGTTGGGAGACATTGGGTACATAAGGACTTGGTTTTTCTTGTAAATATCTGAGGCTGTAGTTTTAACGGGACATAGATTTTGTTTCAAAATGTCTTAGTTCATAAAAGCAAGTTATCAATTGGGGTTAGTCCATGTTTTCCTGATTTTTATATATATATATAAATATTCTTGCCATTTAGCCTCTTAACAGCCTAAGCACAGGGTTTAATAATGAAGCCAGGGCTTTAAACTAAAAATGTATATATATGTAAATGTGTGTATGTATAAACTTACATGATTTGCCAACTGTGGGTACCAAAACGTAGAAAATGAGATAAAGATTAAAAAATATCAGCTCAAACTGATGTTATTTGTTCATTTTGATCTGTTAACAGCTGGTTGTGAACCCCAGCAGGCAGGCAGGACCCCTGTCCTCAATATAAATATGTGAGAGTACGAGCTGGGCATGATGACTTTACCTGTGATCCCAGAACTCAGTGAGGTAGGAGAGTCACTGAGGCTAGTCAAATAAAGCAAAGGCCATCAGTAGTTAATAACATGCATCTCAGCCAGGCACGGTAGGACACACCTGTAATCACAGCACTGAGGAAGGCAGAGGCAGGTGGATCACTGAAAGTGAGGCCAGCCTGGTCTACAAAGCAAGTCCAGGACAGCCAAGACTACACAGAAAAAAACCCTTTCTACAAAAACAAAACCATCTCTTCTGGAGGACGTAAAAGTTTGGTTACCAGCACACTTACTCCAAAACCACCTGATGCTTCTGGGTCCATGGGCACTAGCACACATAATGCAGACAACTAAATCCTAAAAGGTGGCAATGTGTTGCTTTAAAATAACATGTTAAGTTGGCTTAGGCTAGACAAGTACCTCTTTGAAACAGGAGATGGATGGCTTGGCTCCATGGATAAAGTGCTTGCTGTACATAACACCAGATTGGGGTAGGGGGGTTTCCAGAATCTGTAAACTGGGATCCATTGGCTAATCTAAAAAACAGTTCAGCAAAAGACCTTATCTCAAAAAGGGTAGAGAGGCTCAGTGGTTAAAAGCACTGACTGCTGAGCCACTGGGTCTGAGGGCATTCAGTCATCCTCAGTCCCAGGAAGATCCAATGCCCTCTTCTGGTTTCTACGAGGATCAAGCAGCACCTGGACAAACATGCAATCAAAACACCCATAAACATAAAAAATAATGCATGCAAAACAATTTTGAAAAATATGGTGGAGGGCTAGGGAAATAGCCCAGGCTCAGCAGATAACTGCCACTAAGCCTGACAACCAAGTTTGATTCTCCAGAACCCAAGATACCAGAAGTAACTCCAAGTTGTCTTCCAACTCCATGTGTGTGACACATACACTACTAAATGTTTACTTAAAAGACCAATAAAGACAAGGTGGAAAATGTTAGAAAACACCTGATCAGCTGTCAAGTCTCTGGCCTCCATATGCTCACACAACCATACGCCACAGACTTGTGTATGTCTGTGTATTAAAAAAAAAAAAAAAAGCTGGGATGTACCTTAGTTAGCAGAGTTCTTGCAGGCCGGAAGCCTAGGTTCAGTCTCCAGCACTGCATAAATACAGGCGTGCTGGCAGCACTTGGAAGGAGGTAATAGGATCAGAAGGCTCAGGGTCATCAGCTACAGCAAGTTTGAAGACAGCCTGGGCTACATGAGATCTTGCTTCAAAACCACAATAGACAAAAGCATTTTGCAAATCACATTTCACATGAGGTACTAACATCTAGAATATGTAGTCTAGTAATAGCTAAGCTTAATAAGGACTGGTTTTCAAATTTTTAAGGGCAAGCAATACAAGAGATGCCAAAGCCACTGAAGATACTTCAGGCTACTCAGGAGGGTTAGAGTAACATTCCAAAACAAGCAATGAGGGTGAGAATCAGAACCCTCACATTTGCTGGGAGGGATAAATACAGCTACTTAAAAAGGGTTCCATAGTTCTGAGGGTGCCATGTGGCCCAGTAATTTTATATTTAGGTATGCTCCAAAGTCAAAAACATACTGACACTAAAACTTGTACATGGCAATTCATAGCAACACCAAAGCAGAATGGAAATAAGCCACATGTCCACTGAGGTACATACATATTATACCCATACAACTGGCTCAAACAAGTTGTACTGATAAAAGACGACCTGTTACACATCCTTGTTCATGCTCAGAAGAGGAAAACCCACAGATTGCCTACGTTAGGCAATGTGAGGCATCTTGTTGGTGTTGAAATGTCAGGATGAAGAGCTGCAACAGACACATGCCTTTGAGAAAACCAAGAACTTCAACTGAGGAGTTGTTCTGCTATATAGACTAGGTTGACCACATAAACACTTTCCTGCCTCTACAAGTGCTGAGATTACAGATATGAGCCACTATATCCAGCTAGTACATACAAGATCAGGATTTCAAGACTAGCCTTGGTTACTAAGCAAGTTTGAGGGTAGCCTGTATTCATAAGACCCTGTCTTTTAAAAGGCCTATGGAAGTTGAGGCTGAGAGCAAAACCAACTTAGCTACATAGTAAGACAATACTTGAAGAACCAGGCATGGTGGCACATGCCTTTAACCCCAGCACTCAGGAGGCAAAGACAGATGATCTCTGAGTTTGAGGACAGTCTGATCTATAAAATGAGTCCAGGCCAGCCAGGGCTATACAGAGTCCCTGTCTCGAAAGAGGGGGGGGAAATGGGGTGGGGATGTTTGAGATGTATGTGGCCTGAGTGTTGAGTGCTTTGCTTGGATGTTTGTGGCCCTAAAGGGGAAAGCAAGTTTTTTATTTTAAATAAAGCAGTTAATCCTCAGAATTGGAGAAATGTCAGTTAAAGAGCACTTGATAAACTTGCTGAGGACCAGAGTTCAGTTCCCAGCGTCCCTGAAAAGAAGTTCATGCTTGTAACTCTAGGGGATCCCATACCCTTTTTTGGTCCCCACAGGCACCTGTACATAACTAGCATGTATTTACATACATACATGACTGAAAAGCCACAACCAAATATAAAGAGTCAACAGCACATAGATGTAAATTTCATTACCAAAAAGGGCTTAAAAGACACTTCTGACTTAGAAATCCTCAAACTGGAGAATGCTGTTCCAGTTTGACTTTCCAATGTTGAAAGATGCAGAGATCTAGAATGAGCACTGGCAGCTCTGGACCCAAGTTTGATTTCCAGTGCCCACACGGTGGCTAATCCTGTGAACTCCAGCTCCAGGGGATCCAGAAACTTCTTGACCTCCTCCAGCACAGACACATACATAGGCAACGCACCCATACACATATCTAACTCAAGTTTTTGTGAAAGAAGCCCAGAGATAGCTCCGAAGGTAAAATGGTTGCCAACACAAGCATGAGGATCGGATCAGATTCTGATCCCAGATTTCTGGAGCTAGGAGACCCTACCTCTAAAGGGGGTGGGGGAGGCGGGGAGAAAGGGTTAGAGAAATTGTTCAGCAGGTAAAGGAGCCTGCTTCCAGTCTGGCAAGTTGAGTTCAAGGCCTGGGATCCAATTATGGGAAAAGAACTGCCTTCTTTTGAAAAGTTGTTTCCTGACCTCCACATACAGGCAAACACAGAAATTAACTTAAAAAAAAAAAAAAAAAAAAAAAAAAAACCGGCACCATGGCTGCAGAATATACCCAATATTAAGCGAGACCTCTAGCTCTCACATGCTCCATCTTCTGCCCCAATTAAAAAAAAAGTTTTGACATGAACTTTCAGTTCACAGAATAAAAGGCATTAGATCTCCCTTAACATAATAAAGCTAACAAAATCTACTGAAGCTTCCAGAACATGGTCCAACATATTTTCATAAGAGTGTCCCAGACTTGTAGCCATTCTCACCCATGCTTTAACTTCTATAGAATTAGGCAAATAAGTAAGTGCACTCTTGGAGAGCAGGTCACCCGCAGAAGTGGGTCCAACACTGCTCTCTAAGTTTAGGCTAAAGGAGTTTCAACTGAATAAAGCATCACATTCCACCACCCATAGGTTTACTTTTTATTCAATGTTAATGTTACAGAGTTCTTACACTGTCGAACCATGCCTGAGAACCCAAAGAAAGAAATGGTGCAATGGACAGCCTCATTCACCCAGACAGTGTATTAAAACTTGATTCATGTGCATTTTGATAATTTCACAATCTTAAAAAATTATAACAAGACTTGGAATTTACATCTGCTGCAGGTCTTCAGCATTCCAATATAGTACGCCATTAAACAGACCTCTTCACATGTCTCAGTTCACTTCTTAAATCAAAACCCCAAACAGCATTTGTGTACGCGCGCAAGTGTGTGGGTGGGGTAAAACATACTTAATGTGATTACTTGTTAAGGTTTCTGGTGCCCAAATAAGCTTTCAGTTTAACCAAGAATTTCAACCTCCTCCCGGTTGGCAGAGATCATGCCAACATTACTTCCCAGAAGTGGCATGCAGTCCGGTCAGGAGATTCTAGCCTCCTGCTTCCCGCACTGCTGCACTCATCCACTAAACTGCAAGGTGTTCTCAGGGTGGGAGAGCTTCCCCCCATTACCTGTTTTATGCCTGTCAGTAGTGAGCAATCTGAACTGTATTTGGCAAAGGGATTCATTTACAGAGAAACCCAGGCACTGCCATCACGCAGTCATATGCCAATATAGAGTATCTGCATTGAACCATTTCTAGTGACATTAAAGTAGGTAACTGCCAGACTATTTCATTTAGTGGAAAGACACTTAGCAGTAACCTCTTTTAAGGGCCAAGTACTACTGGAAAAGTTAAATTGTAATTACTAACAACAGAAGTGCTACCTTACTGGTTATTCCCCTGCCTCTTCAAGTGAACACCACAAACATACTCCCAAGGAGGACAACAGAGCTACCTGGAACAATGAATGCATCTACAGAATAGCCAATACTTTCAATTTGGGGCACACATGGGAATTCTTATTAGACACCATGCAATATTCATGAACTTGGGTGAGGTTTTGCTCCTGTTGCTTTGAACTATTAAGACAGGTCAGTGAATCCTCTCCACCTGAGCAGACATCACACTCCATCCACAGAACTTCAATTTAGACCTGATTAGGAGGCTTAAGCAGCACCCAGAGTGGCGCCTCTTATATCGGCTGCCCTTTATATCAAAGGCTATCTGGTTCCACCTAGGGATTGGCAAATTCACAGGGCGTTTCACAATTCCAATGCCTCATTTAGGCTATTTCACCACACAGTATGCTGTCAAAGAACTGACTCCAAGTCAAAGCAAGGCCTTAATGTGGACCAGAACAAGCACTATCTGAATAAAAAAGTATTCAAAGAAACAAGACTACCCCCCCACCCATTCCCCATTTGGTGGATCCAAGTTTGGTTCAATTAAATCTGTAGTTACTTCATACTACAACTAAAAACTTAAGTTATAAATCATAGCCCCACACAGATGATCCAAACACATCATTTCTGACAGCGGCTTGTTCCAGGAAGTCTAATATAGCCACAGCCTACAGAGTATTCCTTAAGATGGGGCACAGAACAGGTTAATTAAGGTCACTTAACTCTTCATCTTTTACAGCAGATCAGAACCCAGATGGCTGACTTCTGAAGGCTTTCTGACAGGAATCCAGTAGAGTTGGTTTCAAGGCTCACACAGACACTAATAGCTGTACCCTTGTGCAGAAGTTGTGATCCGCATGAAATCCACAATTAAGTGCAGCAAATCTGAGGTAGTCAACCTTGCGAAGGCTCAGTATCTCAACATAAAGATGTCTGAAATGACCACTGGCTGCAGGTTTGGTTTTAAACGCAGAGCAACTATGGAAAGACTGCTGAATCTAATTCACAAATATTTAAGACAATGAAAAAAAAACCCCTAAATCCAACACATATCAAGATCAGTCGTGACTCTTGAACTTCCATAGTGCAACAGGGACAGTCACTGGAATCGAGGTCTTCAGTCAATGTAGATCCAGAAATCAAAAATGCTGAATGGCTGTTCTTGGTGGTTAGCTGTGGTCTAGTTATCTTGGAAGGCTTAGCAAAGACCGCTCCTTAACTGTACTGTGGGTGGCTGTACTTCTGATTTTCAAGCACAGCATACTGGTTGTCTAGCTGAAGGTTAAGGGCCTGGTTTTTTGAAACCTCCTCCCTACCTCTATTTTTGTGTCTTACTACTTCAAAGCTCTTCTCCATTTCTTTATCCCTAAGGGAAAAGAAATGTAATCAGTAAATAGTTCTTCTTCACTTGGGAATTTTGAAAGTATTCTTCCTTGAATTAAAAACAAAAACAAAAAAAGACCCCTAAAAGTAATTCTGGAGAGACAGGAAGGGAATACAAAATCCTTATCAAACCATTTTTAAGGCTTCAATTGAACAGAAAACATGTAATACTGTACTGAAGCTCTGAGGTCCCATCTTCTGAATAGACTATTTCGGGACCAACTTGAAGACAACCAGAAAGAAGCTGTATAATGACATTCCTCCTAAGACTCGCTTCTAAGTTTAGCAGTTAGTACATAACCATGTCTTTATGCATAAGGGTAAAAATTTTCTCATTCAAGTAATGTTCTCATCATTCAATGTTTTCCCCTCCCTTTTGCTTTGGGGGAGTGGTCTGATTAGATCAGGTAAAGAAAGGTATGTGTGGCAAGTCACTGCACTCCCAGAGCCCTCCATACATTTGAGGACAGAGTGGAGGAGCAAGTCCAAGTGGAGGTCTAAATTCAAGCCAGCTGTGCTCTCAACGAGGCGAAAAGGCTGGGATTTACTTTAAAACCACCCAAAAAAATGTTTCCATCTGATGCCATTTACATTTCTTCCCATTTTATTTACTTTTGAGAATTCATGTCCCTAAAAGATGTAGAAGTGCCATATGTGGTCATTTAACTTCAGGTAGCATTCATTTTAAGTACCTGCTGAAATAAGATTATTTTTAGTGTTAGATTTGTAAATGCCAACATCTTTCATCTACTCCCATTTATTGGGAGTGCAATGAGAAATGCTTCTACATTTCTAGCTCTGTATTTCAAAGGAACATAAGCCAGTAATAATGTACTTGTAGAACTAATTAAATGGGGCTGTGACACAAACACAGCAGACAGCAAAGCCAGGTCTTTAGCATCCTTTCTTTTGCCCTTTCCGAGGACTCTTCCCCCATACCGCCTCCTTCCCTCCTGGCCACCCAAGTCCCACCTGGTTCCCAGCTGCCTGTAAGAAAGCCTAACTCATAACCTCATATACTTACTTCCGGCTCTCTACATGCTTGGCAGTGGACTGCAGTGATGGGAACTGTGTGTCACTGTATATTTCTGGTGGTCCTTGTGGTGTTTTCCTTGTCGTGGTTAGCCTTGCCCCAGGGGGCCTATATACACCACTAGGCATTGCAGGCTCCGGGGTTTCTGTAACTAATAGATAAATCATTCATTCAAACGTCTAACCTTCTAGTAACATTTTCCTACACTCCTGATCATTTAGCAATTGTTAGAGCTGGGCATGGTGGTGCATGCCTTTAATCCCAGCACTTGGGGGGCAGAGGCAGGCAGATTTCTGTGAGTTCAAGGCCAGCCTGGTCTACAAAGGGAGTCTAGGACAGCTTGAACTACACAGAGATACCCTGTCTCAAAATACAAAACAAACATGTATACACACACACAGAGTGAGAAAAGCAACCCTAATTTATAAGGGATTCATACTAGACAACGTAAGCAGAGTTCTGTAGTGCTCTAACTTCTCTGGGAATAATTTTAACATGCCATGTTTGTATGTTCTGAATATGGCTTGAGAGAGGGAATCATCTAGCTTGGGAAATGAGTCAAGTCCTCGAGATTACCCTTTTGGAATACAAGACTGCAGTCCCTTGGTGTTTCTATCAGTAAATGCGACACTTTCTTTACTTGGAAGGTAGGCCAAAAAGATATGTTATAAATAATTTATTTAATAAAATGCACACATAGTATTTTAGATTCCAAAGATGATAAAAAAAATAGCTAATCCTTATCTTTACTTCATTTTCTTAAGATCAATGAATGTTCAGTTTCTATTTGCTTATAAAACAAAGGAAAAAGCACCCAAAATAGCTCAAAATCTTGTATTATGACTTAATTTGGGGGCCTCAATCTTCTACGTTTTTTTTCCTATCTTCCCCAACTGATCCTTGATATGGTTTCAAGCAGTGTTTTCCAGTTTTCAAAAATTTTCAAAGTTTCAGGCTGGGGATGTTCAAGAGTATAGCACATGCCCAGTGTGTGCAGGCCCTGAAGTCTGATAGCGTACACCGCGAACACACAATAAACATCCCCATAAGCATATAGTAGCTGAAATAAAATGTTCTTGTAGTTTAAAGCACTGTTTTCTACAGGTTTAGATTACACCAGAGGGAAAGCTTACATGCTTATTTATTATCTAAACTGAATTAGGATACAAACATTAAAAATTGCAAATGGTAGAAGATGCTTGCAATATCAGACAAGAGTTTCTTGAGTCCAAAGCCAACATGGGCAACTCAGGTAGAGCCATCTTAAAAGAAACCAGATCAAACCACAAGTACCTATGACCCTTTTATTTTGGTCATTAGCCACACATGCCTTTTAAAAAATTCATTATTATTTGTTTGTGGATGATTTGACTTGAGAAGCTTGCCTGCTCGCTCATTCATCTACCTACTCACCCATTCATGAGACAGGCTCCACTTTCCTGGTTGCCTCAACTCAAGAGATTCCATCTACCTCTGTGTCCCGAGTGTTGAGATTCAAAACAATGTATGTAGCTATTTTAGATGAGTAAAAATGAAATCTAGATTTCAGCTCCCCAGTCACATTAGCCAAGTGCTAAACACTGAACAGCAACATGTGACTAGATGTCACTCTATCACTGAGCTCTTCCATTACCTCCCAAAATTTTACTGGGCAGTATTTTCTAGAGAAGACAAAAAAGGGGAGATGGGTTCTACATCAAAATTTTTAACAGGGAAGGAACGTAAGGGTACTACACATTAATATATGTGTGTGTACACAGATGCCCATGGTGGCCAGAAGGAAAAACTGGATTCTTTGAAACTGTGATAGGTATTTGTGAGACCCCTGACAGTACTGAGATACAATTCTAGCTCCCTGGTAGAGCAGGTTACTAATTTTAACTGCTGAGCTCTCTCTAGCCCCAATGGGGCTGCATTTTAAAAAGGGGCTCCAAGAGGGTTTTAGTGACAAGGTAAAATTAAGCAGCCATGAAAAAAATGAGGCCAGCCAAAGATGGTTTGGCAGGTAAAGATGTTCTCTCTTCCCTTCCTTCCCTCCCTCCAAACACCCACCCCCTATAGCCCAGGTGGCAAACTCACCACACAAATAATAAAATTAGGGGAAAAAAAAAAAAAAAAAAAAAAGGCCAACACATAAATGTTAGCAAACATGCTGAATCTGGCCCAACAATTTGAACATGGCTATACTCGTCATTAGCTTCTATGCCACAGTAACACGATAGAGACCACTAAAGTCCTCTCATCTACGCTATTTACATCTGGCCTTTCACCAAAGTTTCAGGCACCTGACACAAAGAAGAAAGAGATACAGCCCCAAAGCATAACAAAACATCTGCAGGAGCCGTGTGTCTAGTGAGTTCAAAAGAGAAAAATCAAGCAGCAATACATGGCACTTCACACCAGTCACTGCAGCATTCAAGAGGCCTATATGGAGATGGTTCATTTGGTAAAGCACTTGCTATATCAGCACTATCAGCGTAAGAACCTAAATTTGTATGCACCAGAACTCCAGTATGTGCCTGGAACCAGATTAAGCTTGGGTGGGTGGGTGGTGACAGAGAAAGAAGGCTCCAGGAGTGTGCTGGTCATCTAGTATGGCCATTCAAGGAACTCTAGACTCAGTGAGAACTTGTCTCAAACATAAAGTGTAGCGTGAAAGAAAGATACAAAGTCAACCTCTGGCCTTGATATCAACACACCCCCACACACAAATTTGAGGCTAGCCTGGGCTATGTATGGTAAAATCCTGTCTCAAAACTAAGAGTGATTGGTGGGTCTGAGAATGAGTGAGGATGAATATTATCAAAAATGTACTGTATGAAATTCTCAAAGAATAAAAACAATTTTAAAAATATTTTAAATTAGAAAAAAAAAAAAAAGCTCAAACCTATAATCCCAGCTTTAGGGAATGGGGGGGGGTTGGTCATGAGGTCATCCCTATTAACATAGAGGACACATAAAATGGTGCTTAAAAAAAAGAAAAAAAAAAACTTAAGATTTCTGAGCTGGAAATGCAACTCAGTGGTACAGCACATGCAAGGCCTTTAAATTCTAGCAAAGCAAAAACAAAACAAAAAAGAAACAAAAAGCTGGAGAGATGGCTCAGAGAATATAGTTTTTGTTGAGAGAGTATAAGGACCAGAATTAGATGATCAGGTCCATGCAAAAGCGAGGTACGTCTGGCAGTCACCTGTAATTCCTCACTAAAGAGGCAGAAACAGGATCCTACAAACAAGCTGGCTAGCTAGGCTAGCTGGAATTGGCTTGAGTTCATTGAAAGAGTTCCTTGAAAGAACCTACTCTCAACAAATACAGGCAGACAATGATAACAAAAAGCTTTGGCCTATCCACAGGCACCTGCACAAGCATGCAAACACATATGCACAACACACATTTACCCAACGATGGTTTTTTTTTCCTTTCTTTTAGTTCCAAAGAGCTTTTACTCTCTTCATAAAATAAAAGTTCTACTGAGAACTTAAACTTCAAGACTTAGAATAGCACCAAGGATGTAATTTACTTGTAGAATGCTTGGAGGTCATACCCAGCTTCATGCCCTCGCAACAAAAACAAAACGTTTGACAGCCTACAGGACAAGGTATGTCAATTTCTACATTCTTTCCATTAAAGGATCCCCCTCTCCCAGGCGTGCTAAGGTTCCCACTCCCCTATCCTCTTCAGAAAGGGAAACAGAAGATTACCTAGTACTGAAGCAGGAGGCGCTTGTACCGGAGCTGTTTTATTCCAGGGACCTGCAGATTTTTCTACTCCACTACCACCTCCACCTTCTTCCCAATTATCTCCTGGATCTTCTCTCTTTTCATTATCATCATCTTCCTTTTCACTATTGGAAAAACAAACAAGTACACTTAATTTCCAAAATACTGGGATTAGATGTATGCACCACTATATGAAGTTTCTACAAAAGGACATTTCTTTTTTTAAATATGGTCATATTATGCAGCCCTGACTAGCATGGAACCAGATACACAGACAGGGTTGATACAGATCTCACAGCGACCTTCCTGTCTCTGCCTCCCTCTGCTGGAACTGAAAGCAGGCACCATCATGGCCAGCTAAACATTTTAGGGGGAAAGGGTGTGCACGTATGTAGTCACAACACAACTTCTGGGATCAGTTCTATCTTTCCACCATGTGGGTTCTGGGGAACAAACCCAGGTCACCAGCTTTAACAGCAATGACCGGTAAGCCATCCTGTTGGACCCCCAAAAGGATATTTCTCTTGGAGCAAATGTGTCCTAGCCATAAGGCAAATTTCTTATGGCTTAGTGTTCTGGTTTTTTTTTTTTTTTTTTTGGGGGGGGGAGGTGGGATCTAACTTGGATTCTCAAGCATACTACATTAACATGCTAAACCAAGGCACATCCAGAACCCAGACAAATTTCTTGACCTCCCTTTTATGATTTTATGAACTCCAGGCTGATCTTCCTATCTCTTCCAAGTGCTGAGATTAAAGATGTAAACCACCATACCCATAATTTATCAAGTTCCTTTAAAGACAATGCCCATCAGTTACAAGTAACTACAGCATTTAAAGACCTACGATGCCAACAAGGAGGAAAAGCCTCATCTTCAATCTGTATTTAGACTGTCTCTAAGGGATGGGGGGGGGGGGGGGCTAAGTAACAGCGTACATAGCCCTAGGCATGATCCCCAATACCGAAGACAAGCACAGTAGCAGTCACCATTTGGAGACTAACTGTGATGACCTCAGCACACAAAAGGCAGAACCAAGAGGATGGTGACTTCAGTGATACCTTCCCCAAAAACTAAAAGTTAAATGAATAGATGGCACTTTGCTACAGAGCCTAACAACTTGAATTTAATCCCCAGAATACACAAGGTGGAAGAGAACTGCCAATTATCTTCTGACATGCACAAAACAGCATGCTCACACAAAATAAACTAATCTTTAAAAAACAAAGGAAAAAAAGATGAAGGATATAGTCAATCTAAACTTCAGTTTTCCCTTTTAACATAAAACCTATTCAGCAATTTAAAATGAGGCTGGGCTTACATTAACATAAAATTCATGCCACTTAAACCATCAACCAAACATTTATACTTAACATAAATAACAAAATATCTAGAACAAATAAATCCTTAAAATGTAATTTTAATGAGAAGAGCCAAAACACTGTTAAGGAACTGATGGTTGAAATCCAGGTTCTGCCATCTCTGTCATTTACTATAAGGCTTTCAAGATGGCACTTGCTGGCTTTTAAATAAAGATGACACACCATTATAAAGGGCAAATGAGTTCATACATATAGTGATTAGAAGACTATCTGACACACAAACATTACCAGATGCTTTGTAATGTTCATATGAATTTTATAAATATAGCATTTATATTATGAAGGTTATATATATATATATATATATATATATCCTTACGAAGTAAAAAAAAAAAACAAAAAAAAACCCAGCTTTCATTTGAAAAAGAGATGAAATATGTTATTTCCTAATAAGTCTTTTTTGTTTGTTTTTTTCAAGACAGTTTCTCTACATAGACTTCGCTATCCGGAGCTCACTCTGTTCCACCAGCTGGCCTCGAACTAAGAGATCCTCCCACTGTCTCTGCCCAGTGAGTGCTGGGATTAAAGGCGAACACCACCACTGCCCGGCTTGTAATAAATCTTAAAAAGTTGATCAGACAGAGTGATACCATTTTCTTTCTTTCCTTTTTTGGTTTTTCAAGACAGGGTTTCTCTGTGTATCCTTGGCTGTCCTGGAGTTGCTTTATAGACCAGGCTGGCCTCAAACTCAGAGATCCACCTAACTCTGCCTCCCCGAGAGCCAGAATTACAGGCATGAACCATTGGGCCCAGTGTGACACCATTTTCTAACAGTAGCTTATTAGCTAGTATGAAGTTTATAATTTATCCAGACTAATAACAGTGTCCAAACTTCAGAATCTTTTCAAAAGGTCTTTTTACTTTAAAAAATGTTAAAACTATATCAATATACTTGCACTATAATTGCTTCATGGATGAAATAGGTATTCATCTAGATGCAACAACCCAATCCATCCAAGACAGAAGATTCCCACACACACCGTCATGTTGCTAACACTGAAGCAGCAGCTTTCAGTTACTTATTCACATTTTGAATCTTTTTACTCACCAATGCACTAAAGCACAATTGCTCAACTGTTAGGAACATTTGCTGTAAAGAGACTGGAGTTCAAATCCCTAGCACCCAAATGAAAGTCAGTCATGGTCACAGTAACCCCAGCACTGCATGGCAGAGTGGATCCTAGTTTACTGGCTAGCCAGCTTAGCCAAAATGGTGAGGGGTCCAGTTCCACCAAGACAACTTACCTCAGAAAAAAAAAGAGTGGACCCCCATGGACTCCTCTGGCCCTCAAATCCAAGAGTACAAGGAGTAAACATTCTAGGACACACCACAATGTAAAGGAAAACCCCAATGTGGCTTAATAGATAGCATCAAGTAAAAGTCACATCTCTTTTAATGTAACTAGGGTTGGCCTTGAACCCATGCTTATCCTCCTGCCTCAACCTCAAACTCTGAGACTATAGGCACGTCCCACCACATCCAGCCAGGACACTTTCTTCTAACCCCAGCCCACCCTTCTAAGAATACCGAAAATAACCACAAATTTAAAAAAATACACCTAGATTACTAACTATTAAAAAACACAGCATAAGAGCTCCAACCAGGAGCCTGGGAGCTCAACTGGACAACCCAGTGGGATTGCCCCTATGCCTTAAACAAAGCATTACAAGGTAAAGGTAGGGAATACGGGTTTTAAGTTTAGTCTTGACTGTATAGAGTTTAATGCCTGCTTAAATACAAGCAAGACCCTGCCTCAAAAAAAAACAACCCAAGACTGTTAGATAATAAAGTTAGCATTGAGGATATGAGTCAGTCATAGAATGCTTGCCTACGTTGCCTATGTCTGACTCCGGGCACACAAAAAGTGGGGGGAGGGGTTGCCAAAATAAGCTGGGCATAGTGGTGCAGACATATAATCCTAGCACTTGGGGCTGAAGGCAGGGAAGATCACACCAGTTTAAGGACAGCCTGAGCTACAAATTCCTGATTCCAAAAAGGTTAAAATAAAATCAAGAGTTTTACATCCTGCTAGAAAAACAATTCAATTTAAATATTCTCCATAACTTAACAAAATCAATTTTTTCTCCCACTTCCAAAAAGGTTACTTTTGCCCACTATATTCAACATGGCCAAAAATTGCCACCTAAGTCTTCAAGAACAAGGGTAGACCAGGAGCTAACTTTACCACAGAACTGGAACCACTTCCAGTCTACCAACAACCCTATATAAAAGGCACCTGTAACTTCTCTCCAGATTATAGATCAAGCCTCAGAAGAAAACAACAACAGTTTCTACTTTTCCTTTTAATTGTTGAGATAGATTCTCACTAAATTGCTCAGAGTAACCTTAACTTACTCTAACCCACGCAGGCCCGATTTTTTCTCTCAAACTTATCTCAGCCTCCTCAGCAGCTGAAAATTCAGGCTTTCACCACCAGCCCCAGTGGAATTATTTTCTAGAATGTACTCATCAGAGTATGTACTGCTCTTGCAGAGGATCCAAATTCAGTTCCTAGAACTCATAGACAGTTCACAACTACTTATAACTCCAGCTTAAGAGACCCAATGCCCTCTTCTGGCTCCTCAGGCACCTGCATGCACGCACACTTAAGATATTCCCAACCCAGACACACACACACAAAATGAAAACACAAAAGAAAAAGGACAAACCAAAAACGACCTTTTCATTCCCCTGATACAAAAAGGAATGTTTAATTTGGTAAACTCACAACATGATGTAAAAACATCAGGGACATTAGTACTTGAAAAATAATAGCTGTTTTTTATTTTTTTTTCAACAAAAGTTACTTTTAAATACTATGAATTAGATTTCAAAAGACAGTTTGGAGTTAGGAAAAATATCTACTCCACTGTCCCATACAGCAGCTGGAATTCTTTACAAATTGCAAGCTTCAATCAAAGGCAATTTTTAGATCATTTTGTTCATGTAAGATGAGTTAAGGATTTTGAATCGTAAAGCACCTCTACTTAAAAAAAAAAAAGAGAAAGAAAACTTACCTTAAATACTTACCTTTTCTACTTAAATCTTTCCAAACATGTCACTTTAAAAAACAGACCTGACAACGCAGGCTCTCAATTTTAAAGTCTCTTAATCAATCCAACTTAAAAAAAAAAAAAAAAAAAAAAAAAAAAAATATTTTAAAAACTAAAAAAAAAAACAACATAAAAAAAAAAAAAAAAAAAAAAAAAAGACTGTTTTCCTGAACTTTAAATAAATTCAGAGCCTGAAATGGGAGCACAGGCCTCTAATCCCAGCAACTGAGGAAATCGGATAAACATTAAAGGCCAGTAAGACCCTCACAAACAAAATACTTAGGATCTACAATCTCATTCCTATAACATTCTAAAGGGAATTCACGTGCCACACTAGGACAGTGGTTATCCTTGGGGGTGAAGGCAGTAAAGCTTCAGGAGGAGGGCTGCTCTGTAACATAATTGTTCAACTTCTTGATTGGAGTGAACAGTACATAAATCGGTTTCACTGAGAATACTACAAATCTGTATCTCTCTGGAAATATCCAACACTTCAATTGCAAATATATATCAGCTTATTTACCGGAGAGAACAAGAAGAAATATTATTAAAAGGAGAAAAAAAAAAAAAAAAAACAAAAAAACAAACGTAAGTTCAAGCATAATCTGGTGGTGCATTTAGGTGGAAAATGAAGGCTCAATAGTTCAAGATCAGTGATGGCTCAGTGCTTTTCCGGAGGACCAGTGTCCAGTTCCCAGCACCCACACTAACAGCTGTTACTGTAATTAGAGGACCATACAGACATATTCACACTCATACCCTTAAAATATTTTTGAAAAAAAAAAAAACTAGTTCAAGGTTATCCTCAGCTACACAGTAAGTTCTCAGGGCAGCATGAGCTACAAGATACCTTATTGGGGGTAGAGGGTACCATCTAAGTTCAAACATAGTGTTTGAACTGAAAACACTACATCTGAACTTAAAAATGACAGAATCCATTTAAGTCAAATAAAAATCCAAACAGCTGCACGTAGGGAAACCCTCACAGGATTTTAGAGCTGGCAGCTCATTTAATGACACCAGGAAAGCTGGGCCTAGAGAAAAAGTAATCGTGTCCAATGCGAGTACACTCAACGAGGTAGCTAATCCATTTGTAATCACATCCTACCTTATTTGCATTGCCTGAACTCTTAGTCCGCTGTAATCAACCTCTTTTTGCTCAAATTCTTTCCACTCATCTTCATCCTGTGGAAGAAATGCCATCTGATTAACAGTTCTTGGTAAACAGGTTTCAGACTAAGAAAAAAAAAAAAAGATCAAGGGCTATAGGGATTCCTCAAACTGGTAAAGGCACCTGTAAAACATCTGATTAATTAAGAGATCTTGGCAAACAGGTTTCAGACTAGGAAAAATGCGAACAAGGGCTACCAGGATTCTTCGGCCTGTAAATGCACCTGCAGCCAGCCTTGGGGACGCAGTCTGATTCTCGGGGCCCACATGGTGGAAGGAGAGAACTCACTCCAGCAGGTTGTCCTGTGACCCCTCCCGCACACGCACACCCGAGCGTGCGCGCACAAACAGGCAAGTAAATGTGATCTGTAAAAACCTGCAAGTAGTGACACAAACCTCTAATCCCAGTGGTGGGGGAGGCAGAGGCCGGGGAGGGGGGGTTCTTTGTGACCCGGAGGCCAGTCAGAGCTGCACAGTGCGACCGTGTCTCCAAAACTAAACTGGGTCTAGCGGCTGGGTCGTGAACGTCTATATAGGCCGTCCTTGCAAGCTCCCGACAGCGCGCCCTTCTCTGCCGCCCGCTTTTTACTCAAAATCAGCTCCAGGAGGAAAAAAACAAAACCAACAACCCGGGAATTCCACGCGGCCGGGAGAGCACGCCGCGCGCTCCGGCAGCCGCACACGCGAGCCCCGAAGACGACTTCGGCAAACGGAACCCGGCCCCGACCGGGCTCCGGCGGGACGAGTCCTCCAGCACACGTCACCCGGGGCCCGCGGGCCCGC